GGCAGTAGTAGTAGTAGTAGTGGCAGTAGTAGTAGTAGTAGTGGTAGTAGTGGCAGTAGTAGTAGTGGTAGTGGTAGTAGTGGCAGTAGTAGTAGTAGTAGTGGTAGTAGTAGTAGTGATAGTGGTAGTGGCAGTAGCAGTAGTGATAGTGGTAGTAGTGGCAGTAGTAGTAGTGGTAGTGGTAGTAGCAGTAGTAGTAGTGGCAGTAGTAGTAGTGGTAGTGGTAGTAGCAGTAGTAGTAGTGGCAGTAGCAGTAGTGGTAGTGGTAGTGGTAGTAGCAGTAGTAGTAGTGGCAGTAGCAGTAGTAGTAGTGGTAGTAGTGGCAGTAGTAGTAGTAGTAGTAGTAGTAGTGGTAGTAGTAGTAGTGATAGTGGTAGTAGTGGCAGTAGTAGTAGTAGTAGTAGTAGTAGTAGTAGTAGTAGTAGTAGTAGTAGTAGTAGTAGTAGTGGCAGTAGTAGTAGTGGTAGTGGTAGTAGTGGCAGTAGTAGTAGTAGTAGTAGTGGTAGTAGTAGTAGTAGTAGTAGTAGTAGTGGTAGTAGTAGTAGTAGTAGTAGTAGTAGTAGTAGTAGTAGTAGTAGTAGTAGTAGTAGTAGTAGTGGCAGTAGCAGTAGTAGCAGTAGTAGTAGTGGTAGTAGTAGCAGTAGTAGTAGTAGTAGTAGTAGTAGTGGCAGTAGCAGTAGTGGTAGTGGTAGTAGTGGCAGTAGCAGTAGTAGCAGTAGTGGTAGTGGCAGTAGTAGTGGTAGTAGTGGTAGTGGCAGTAGTAGTAGTGGTAGTGGTAGTAGTGGCAGTAGTAGTAGTAGTAGTGGTAGTAGTAGTAGTAGTAGTAGTGGTAGTAGTGGCAGTAGCAGTAGTGGCAGTAGTAGTGGTAGTAGTGGTAGTGGCAGTAGTGGTAGTGGTAGTAGTGGCAGTAGTAGTGGCAGTAGTAGTGGTAGTAGTGGTAGTGGCAGTAGTAGTGGTAGTAGTAGTAGTGGCAGTAGTAGTAGTGGTAGTGGTAGTAGTGGCAGTAGTAGTAGTAGTAGTGGTAGTAGTAGTAGTAGTAGTAGTGGTAGTAGTGGCAGTAGCAGAAGTGGTAGTGGTAGTAGTGGCAGTAGCAGTAGTAGCAGTAGTGGTAGTGGTAGTAGTGGCAGTAGTAGTAGTGGTAGTGGTAGTAGTAGTGGTAGTGGTAGTAGTAGTAGTGGTAGTGGTAGTAGTGGCAGTAGCAGTAGTAGCAGTAGTGGTAGTGGTAGTAGTGGCAGTAGTAGTAGTGGTAGTGGTAGTAGTAGTGGTAGTAGTGGCAGTAGCAGTAGTGGTAGTGGTAGTAGTGGTAGTAGTAGTAGTAGTAGTAGTAGTAGTGGCAGTAGCAGTAGTAGTAGTAGTAGTAGTAGTAGTAGTAGTAGTAGTAGTAGTAGTAGTGGTAGTAGTAGCAGTAGTAGTAGTAGTAGTAGTAGTAGTAGTGGTAGTGGTAGTAGTGGCAGTAGCAGTAGTAGTAGTAGTAGTAGTAGTAGTAGTAGTAGTGGTAGTAGTGGTAGTAGTAGCAGTAGTAGTAGTAGTAGTAGTAGTAGTAGTGGTAGTGGTAGTAGTGGCAGTAGCAGTAGTAGTAGTAGTAGTAGTAGCAGTAGTAGCAGTAGTGATAGTGGCAGTAGTAGTAGTGGTAGTGGTAGTAGTGGCAGTAGTAGTAGTAGTAGTGGTAGTAGTAGTAGTAGTAGTAGTGGTAGTAGTGGCAGTAGCAGTAGTGGTAGTAGTAGTGGTAGTAGTAGTAGTAGTAGTAGTAGTAGTAGTAGTAGCAGTAGTAGCAGTAGTAGTAGTAGTAGTAGTAGTAGTAGTAGTAGTAGTGGTAGTGGCAGTAGCAGTAGTAGCAGTAGTAGTAGTGGTAGTAGTAGCAGTAGTAGTAGTAGTAGTAGTAGTAGTGGCAGTAGCAGTAGTGGTAGTGGTAGTAGTGGCAGTAGTAGTAGTAGTAGTAGTAGTAGTAGTAGTAGTAGTAGTAGTAGTAGTGGCAGTAGTAGTAGTAGTAGTGGTAGTAGTGGCAGTAGTAGTAGTGGCAGTAGTAGTAGTGGTAGTGGTAGTAGTGACAGTAGTAGTAGTAGTAGTGGTAGTAGTAGTAGTGATAGTGGTAGTGGCAGTAGCAGTAGTAGTAGTGGTAGTAGTGGCAGTAGTAGTAGTGATAGTGGTAGTGGCAGTAGCAGTAGTGATAGTGGTAGTAGTGGCAGTAGTAGTAGTGGTAGTGGTAGTAGTGGCAGTAGTAGTAGTGGTAGTGGTAGTGGCAGTAGCAGTAGTGATAATGGTAGTAGTGGCAGTAGTAGTAGTGGTAGTGGTAGTAGTGGCAGTAGCAGTAGTAGTAGTGGCAGTAGCAGTAGTGATAGTGGTAGTAGTGGCAGTAGTAGTAGTGGTAGTGGTAGTAGTGGCAGTAGCAGTAGTAGTAGTGGCAGTAGCAGTAGTGATAGTGGTAGTAGTGGCAGTAGTAGTAGTGGTAGTGGTAGTAGCAGTAGTAGTAGTGGCAGTAGCAGTAGTAGTAGTGGTAGTAGCAGTAGTAGTAGTGGCAGTAGCAGTAGTGATAGTGGTAGTAGTGGCAGTAGTAGTAGTGGTAGTGGTAGTAGCAGTGGTAGTAGTGGCAGTAGCAGTAGTGATAGTGGTAGTAGTGGCAGTAGTAGTAGTGGTAGTGGTAGTAGCAGTAGTAGTAGTGGCAGTAGCAGTAGTAGTAGTGGTAGTAGCAGTAGTAGTGGTAGTAGCAGTAGTGGTAGTGGCAGTAGCAGTAGTGATAGTGGTAGTAGTGGCAGTAGCAGTAGCAGTAGTAGTAGTAGCAGTAGCAGTAGCAGTAGCAGTAGTAGTAGTAGTAGTAGTAGTAGCAGTAGCAGTAGCAGTAGTAGTAGTGGTAGTGGCAGTAGCAGTAGCAGTAGTAGTAGTAGTAGTAGTGGCAGTAGTAGTAGTAGTAGTAGCAGTAGCAGTAGTAGTAGTAGCAGTAGCAGTAGTAGTAGTGGTAGTGGCAGTAGCAGTAGTATTAGTAGTAGTAGTGGCAGTAGTAGTAGTAGTAGTAGCAGTAGCAGTAGTAGTAGTAGTAGTGGCAGTAGCAGTAGTGGTAGTGGTAGTAGTGGCAGTAGTAGTAGTAGTAGTGGCAGTAGCAGTAGCAGTAGTAGCAGTAGCAGTAGCAGTAGTGGTAGCAGTAGCAGTAGTAGTAGTAGTAGTAGTGGCAGTAGCAGTAGTAGTAGTGGCAGTAGTAGTAGTAGTAGTGGCAGTAGCAGTAGCAGTAGTAGCAGTAGCAGTAGCAGTAGTGGTAGCAGTAGCAGTAGTGGTAGTAGTAGCAGCAGTAGTAGTGGTAGTACTGGCAGTAGCAGTAGTAGTAGTGGCAGTAGCAGTAGCAGTAGTAGTAGTGGTAGTAGTGGCAGTAGCAGTAGCAGTAGTGGTAGTAGTGGCAGTAGCAGCAGTAGTAGTAGTAGTAGTGGCAGTAGCAGCAGTAGTAGTAGTAGTAGTAGCAGCAGTAGTAGTGGCAGTGCATCCGTATTGCAGCAGTATTGATATTTTTCAAGTATTTGTATTATTTCATATACAGTAAACTTCGTTTATAACGAACACGCTTACAACGAACTCACCGATATAACGACCTTAGTTTTTAGTACCGGCCATTTGATGTATATATGCTTATAACGAACTATGGTTATTACGAACTAATGGTCTCTTTGAGTTCGCTATAACCATAGTTTACTGTAAATCATTAACCCCGTGTCGCCAGGTGCGTGGTGTATCTGATCGCGGTGTCGTCCCACATTTTACCGCTGCTGAGTCACCCCGAGGTCCGTGCTGGCCGTTATCTGCCCACGCAGCATCCGCCACACCGCGGCCATGCAGACACGGGGCGTGAGGCGGCACACGACATCGTCGCCTTTCATCTCCTTGCAGACCCTCGCCAAGGTCACCAAGGTCACCAAGGTGCACTACTTTCAGGGATTGCGGGAACTGTTGTCGGTGCCGCTTCAAATAGTTGTCCAGTTATATCACGGCGTGTCAGCTTGGTGTGGGAGGAACTTTGAATGAATCCCCTGGTCATAAGTTTCGCATTATTTTGTTTAACACATTCAATCAGTATATCAGATAAGAGACCACAATGGTGAAAAATCAAATTTTGACTTTTCTTTATATTTTGGAAGACTACAGTATCTTCGAAACACAAATATAAACTTACAAACTTCACTTCATACATATTACTCAGATACACGACATTTGGACTCAATTTCCGACTTGTAACTGTTTATGTTATAACTGCAGGTTTTAGACATAAGGCGCGTGCAATAACAAACATAATATTTTAGCGTTTTGCTGTGACCAGGCCCGGAGATCGAACCCACGTCCTTCCGCTCTGCGGGCAGACACATTATCCGCTCGACCACTGAGACGGCAGCTTGGACGAGTGGGGTACATGCACTTCAGCCACCCCTTTGTGATCTGGGTCGTTTACTACCACAATATGGTGAAACAATCGACCATAGGATCCTGTCACAACTAAGGGAGGTCACTGTGGGGCGAGGTATACCACTCGGACCTGTATGTAGGCCGTGTAGGTATGACCCACGTGCAGATCGTACCACAAATCGGACAGGATCGGGCGGTCAAGTTCTCTGACTTGATTGATGCATGTCATCGTATCCTAACTGCGTAGATCGATGTTCATGTCAATCGCAGTCAGGTCCAGACTCGATTATTTACAGACCTCCGTCATATACCGTATCTGGAATATTGCTGAGTGCGGCATTGAACAACAAGCAAACAAAACGCCAAGTGACTGCATGCGTACGATACAGTCAGCGCAAGTAAGCCCTGGCATACATAAGCATCCAGGTTAAGGTCCATGCATTACGACAGGTAGGCCCTAACCGAGTGTAGATATGCAACTTGAAGATTAAAGAAATGAACGGCACGCGATCTTCCACTTCTGTTATCACGCGAACTTGAGTGGCAGCGTGGATTGTGGGTCAAGTGGAGGGTGGAGGTTATGTAAATTATAACCTGCAGACATGTTTGCTTTTTTTCAGTCAACTCATCAACAGGAAAAACAACACGGACCACAACACGGGCACACACGCATCTGCATCCAGGCACAAAGAGTCGTCATCCGACTTATTAACCGAAAAGTTCACAAGAATTTGTAATGTTTTATGAAAATTTGTTTCTATTCTCTACGTTTTTAACCCATCACTCATATGATCGTACCCCGCGGTAGTGCGCCAATCAGCGCTAACCATTTCGTCACGTGCTTGCCTGTGCCTCGAAATGCACGCGCTTTGAATGCTGACTGAGTGGCACATGGTCGCTGTTGTTTGCAGTGTGCGGTTGCCACTCAGACTCGGATGATGACATTTTTGTTACGCAAAGTAAGTTTTTCCATGATCTGGACGGGAAAGACAATAGTTTTCGTTTTCTACCACCAACTAGCTTTGAGGAGCTGCAAGGCGAGTTGAAAGACTCTTTACCCCTTAATACTAAGTACAGGAGTGAGTGGGCCGCATCACTGTTTGCTAAATGGCAGAGAGAACGATTGAAACGTCCCATTGCAAAAAGGATATGATATGTATGATTTATTGCAATACTGTTATTGTATCATCAGGTTTGACCGCTTCAGATGCCACACCCATCGACTAGAGGTAATCCCTATTTTTATAGACGAATTAGCGTATAAGTGTTTTCTGAATGACGTTATTGGAACAATCGTATGTAAACAAATATATTGTGTGTAAATGTATACACACAAACAACGTATTTACTCAAATTACAGTAATGGTTAATATTGGCGATACCAATATTACATAACAAATGAACTTTACACAACAAACACTGATAATGGTTTTCTTACATTTATTGATGACATGCACAGTAAAAAGGTATTTTTTTCATTAAATTTTGATTGTTTTTTGTTAACCTTAAATCCTATGCAGGACAGGTGGCAGGATGCTGAAGGCTTATGTCGGTAGCACTCGCTGAGGGTACCCACTGCTCGCTGACTTGGTTGATGCATGTCATCGATCCCAATTACGCGGATCGATGCTCATGATGTTAATCACTGGATTGTCTGGTCCAGACTCGATTATTTACAGACCGCCGTCATATATCTGGAATATTGCTGAGTGCGGCGTAAAACAACAAACCAACCAACCAAGATGTTAAGCAAGCAATGCATACAGATGTAGCGTTAATATGTAATGAATTTGTATATGTATCATGTTTGGGAGAGGCATTCAGATAAGCAAAATTTGCTTGTTTGCCAATCCCTCCACTTTATGGAAATATATATGTTTATTACTTGCCCGTGAAGAGATCACCCGTTTAATAAACATATAGCTTTATTACACATTGTGTAATACCAAAACGCGTGCTTATGTACCCTCGGAACACGTTTCACGAACAAATATTGAAAGCTCTCAACATCTCTTGGCTTATTCAAGGACATTGCGTGTGGAGTTGATAGATCACTGAGAGGAGCTTATGCACACTCGATGACCCCAGCAACCTTGTTGCTAGGCTGACGTCACATGGCATTGTTTCGCCGATGGATCTTGCATCAAAATTCCACAAATTACGTCATCGGGTATTGTGACGTTATTGAAAACTTTGAGGTGCAAGGCCCGTTCCACAAGGCGATCGTATTGTAGCGCAACGACAGTCGTTGGTCTAAGTTAAAGTATGTGAGATGCGAAAGTCTTAGCCCTACGATAATTTTGTGAATTCTAAAGGTAGACCAGTTGCATGGTATGAAATTCATACGTTTCAACTTTTGACGTGTTTGAAGTATTATTCTGTTAAACTCAATTTGACTATGTCGTGGATCATGTAGGTGTCAGCCTATTCATACTCAACAGTATAATTAAAAAAACGTTATAAATTGCAAGTAATAAATAAAATACTAAACTCGCTCCCGTGTAAAACCAATTTTATGAAACTCGTGAATAGTTGTGGTATCTGACTCGCTTTCGCTCGTCAGATACCACAACTATTCACTCGTTTCATAAAATTGGTATTACACGGGAGCTCGTTTAGTATTCTATATTTATATCATATGTAATGAATAGTGATAACACGTCTGGTACTGGGGACAGTATATCTAACTAGTGCATTGAGGTGGCGTGTTCCCGCCAGTACAAACACTGGATTGCCAGTTCAAACTGGTGCCTGCAGGATTCGCTGCATTACATACCACCATCACTGATGCAGAGGCCGGAATCTGGCCGTTGTGAAGTGATTGAAGGACTGATGAAGACGGAGTTAAACAGACTTCCATCACCCGTCTCTAGATACGATTAACCGTTTTTTCTTAGTTGGAGAAATATACTTCTCTTTTAGATTAAAATTTGAAAAGTGTTATGTTATTAATTTAACTGTTGCCGAAAATATTTCATGCTGCAGTTTTAATGATTTTTTCAGGTCACCGCAGTTCAGATGTGCGTCTGTACAAGAGGATTAACATGGCAATGCAGGCTGCCGTTTCTGATATTATTTACGGGAGTTTAAATGAAGAACCATTGGCGACAACAAGGAGGGTCAAGGAACGGCGGAAAAAAAACGAACAGACCGTATCACTGTATAAAATATGAGTTACACGATGTTAAAAGTTAAGATAATTGCTGTGATGGCACCAAGCGGGTTAAACCACTGGCTTCATGTAAACCCCATTTCCTGAATCTTCGTTAATGCTCTTGACACGATGCTCTACGTGTCGATACAAGTCTTGCCTTCTGTCATATTTGAGTAAATCCGTGGTATACAGAAGCGAGAGCCGCCTGGTAAAGGTATATGCCTGGTATACAGAGCGAGAGCCGCCTGGTAAAGGTATATGCCTGGTATACAGAAGCGAGAGCCGCTTGGTAAAGGTATATGCCTGGTATACAGAAGCGAGAGCCGCCTGGTAAAGGTATATGCCTGGTATACACAAGCGAGAGCCACCTGGTATACAGAAGTGAGAGCCGCCTGGTAAAGGTATATGCCTGGTATACAGAAGTGAGAGCCGCCTGGTAAAGGTATATGCCTGGTATACAGAAGCGAGAGCCGCCTGGTAAAGGTATATGCCTGGTATACAGAAGCGAGAGCCGCCTGGTAAAGGTATATGCCTGGTATACACAAGCGAGAGCCACCTGGTATACAGAAGTGAGAGCCGCCTGGTAAAGGTATATGCCTGGTATACAGAAGTGAGAGCCGCCTGGTAAAGGTATATGTCTGGTATACAGAAGCGAGAGCCGCCTGGTAAAGGTATATGCCTGGTATACAGAGCGAGAGCCGCCTGGTAAAGGTATATGCCTGGTATACACAAGCGAGAGCCACCTGGTATACAGAAGTGAGAGCCGCCTGGTAAAGGTATATGCCTGGTATACAGAAGTGAGAGCCGCCTGGTAAAGGTATATGCCTGGTATACAGAAGCGAGAGCCGCCTGGTAAAGGTATATGCCTGGTATACAGAGCGAGAGCCGCCTGGTAAAGGTATATGCCTGGTATACACAAGCGAGAGCCGCCTGGTAAAGGTATATGCCTGGTATACAGAAGCGAGAGCCGCCTGGTAAAGGTATATGCCTGGTATACACAAGCGAGAGCCGCCTGGTAAAGGTATATGCCTGGTATACAGAGCGAGAGCCGCCTGGTAAAGGTGTATGCCTGGTATACAGAAGCGAGAGCCGCCTGGTAAAGGTATATGCCTGGTATACAGAAGCGAGAGCCGCCTGGTAAAGGTATATGCCTGGTATACAGAAGCGAGAGCCGCCTGGTAAAGGTATATCCCTGGTATACAGTAGCGAGAGCCGCCTGGTAAAGGTAGAGGTGTACATGACATGTCACTGGTCGTGCCGTGAGTGCTGTGACCTGATTTGTATTCCAGACAGTCGCCCAGGTGTGTAGAGGTCACTGTCATGCCTTTTCCACATGTGATTATCAGGGTCGGACCTGCTAGACGTGTAGGGGTAACGTCAACCACATCCCGCTGTTTAAATACACCTCTGTTCACCCAACAGGGAATGGGCGCCCGATATGTAAGGTAGATGTAAACACCTTCAAGCGCCCCTAGGCAGCTTGGGTTGTATAATCCCCAGGGAGTTGAGAATGATAACTGGAATGCGAACGGTACCACTGGTCGGGAAACAAATACAAATATTTGTGCAGATAATAGTACCTGGATACCTGTGCCATATAAATGCATTTAATATTAATATACTGAACCGCAAAATAAACTTCACCATGGATAGATATATGAGAAACCTTATTTGTCCAAACACTGTAAACATACTTTGAGACATATCAAAAAGATGTAACTTTGCAAAACTGATCAAGGTAGAAATAAAAGTGTCAAATGTTCTTAAAGTGAAATACAACACTAGTCTCTGAGAAAATTGCATGATAAGTCAGTATCTCGTGTGTCAGCCATGTGCATTGATGACTGCCATGCAACGTCGATACATGGAATTGATGAGGCGGTTGATGAAGGCCATAGGCACTTGAGCCCACACTCTGATTTCTAGTCAATCTTGGCATGTGGTAGCAATTCAGTGACGAATGAATGTTATCCGATCTGGGTGGATTTCTCTAGGGCAAGAAACGTTGGAACGCACGTGCATTTCAGTTTGCACGGAACTCGCGTGCATCGGGTTACCATGGCCGTTGCCATGATACGTTTTGACGATCGGTTTTCTTGTCATCTGCTTTGGTTTTTTTATCATCAAACTTCATTTTTCCGGACAAGATAATGTTAAATGTTAGAAACTTTGACAAAAATTACCCATATATTTAAATGACAACTTTTCATGCAGTGTTACTTGGGGTGACTTTTCTTTTGCGGTTCAGTATATAAATATTAATAACGTCAGACCCTCACGCCGATCTAAAACTTAAGAAAAAGTTGTATTTCCATGACATAACTAGAGCGCTGACGGCTAGACGTGGAGGTGTAACGTCCGACCACAAGATCACTCATCTGAGAATCTGATCAATAAAATAACCAACTGTTTAATGGTAATCGAAATCCGAAAAACTCCTTGCCGTAAGAATGTCTTTTAAAACTCGCTTTTCTTTATCAGTTTGTTAGTTGAGATGAAACGGGGTTTAACGTCGGTCGCGTCCCAGATTATTGGACGTATACAGCGGCGTCCATGCAGTTTAACATATACCACTCAGACACAGTATACTGACTCCGAGCCGACCAGTCCTTGTTTTAGTCCCTTAATGCCGAGCGCTAGACAGGGTAACAAGTACCATCATTTAACGTAGTTTGGTATGGCGGGATCAAACCCCGGACCTTCCGCTCTCTGGGCGGACGCTCTACCACTAGACCACGGAGGCGGTCCCGCCATGGCATGGGCACGAGGACACTGTAAGCATTTACGGTAAGATAATACGGTAACACAATACTGCAACGTGCAAAGTAATGATTGTATAATGACGTGTGTTATAATCACGATAAAATTTACCTTTCTGTCGCTATCCACGGTGGTCAAGAGCTGAGAACTTGCAAACGGTCACTCGTCTCACAGATGCATCATTGGTCAGCAGTTGACGACCGCCATGTGCCAAAGAGTGAATGGAAGTGCACCTCTCAGTGAAAATCAGTGCAGAGCCGAGTCATCCGCAAGCAGACGAGTCATGTAGGCTGTGTGTGGCGCAGGAATTATTCCACGCCATTAGTCATCAAGACATCTCATAAAGAATCATAATATGTTTGTGCCGAGCGGGAAACCTGTTGCAAGGGTTGGTCCTCTCTGTGTGTTGACACAGTCAGTCTAAACCTTACAACATTGTGCACACTTACAATTCCCATGCTGCATACTCTCGTGCCGCACCTCCCAGGCATGTCGCTGTGATGGACAGAGATTCGTCAGTCAGTAGGAAACACAAATGTGCCGGCCAGTGATACGTCGGGGTGGAATTTTTACACACAACTGTGACCAGTCGCTTTGAACAAAATGTGGTCTGCTGAAACATTGGAGACAACGTACAGTGAAAGGGGAGACAACTGAATGTCCTTTAGATGGTCTGCTGATACATTGGAGACAATGTATAGTGAAAGGGGAGACAACTGAATGTCCTTTAGATGGTCTGCTAAAACACTGGGGACAACGTAAAGTGACAGGGGAGACAACTGAATGTCCTTTAGATGGTCTGCTAAAACACTGGGGACAACGTAAAGTGACAGGGGAGACAACTGAATGTCCTTTAGATGGTCTGCTGAAACATTGGGGACAACGTATAGTGAAAGGGGAGACAACTGGATGTCTATTGATGGTCTGCTGAAACATTGGGGACAACTTATAGGGAAAGGGGAGACAACTGAATGTCCTTTAGATGGTCTGCTTAAACACTGGAGACAATGTATAGTGAAAGGGGAGACAACTGAATGTCCTTTAAATGGTCTGCTGAAACATTGGAGACAACGTATATTGAAAGAGGAGACAACTGAATGTCCTTTAGATGGTCTGCTGAAACATTGGAGACAACGTATAGTGAAAGGGGAGACAACTGAATGTTTTAATTTTCATCATATGCAACATTTTCCTGATTTTCATCATTTTAATCCTTTTCATTATATTCATGATTTTCATCATTTTCATCATGTTCACACATGCGTCACGTGAGACAGGAAACAGATCAGGGGAAATGTTAGAGAGGCTTCACAAACCAAGCAACAGTATGTATGCCATAATCCAGACAGTTGACGTTGCTTACTGCGGAGTTGCATCTTGTCACTTTAGGATATAAATATCACATGAGTAATAAGCTAGATGAGTAAAACAATCTCAGATCGCATTGAATATAATATATTTATGACATTATGTTCGTTTTTTGTTGTATCTTCTATTTGTCCCAATTAATGATACTAAAGGTTATGATGATGACCATTTGAAAAGATTGCGGATATCACAACTTGCATCGAATCTTCTTTGGCCAGCACTGACTGTAATCGAAGCATGGCTGTTGACCTTTCACCTAAATATACGGTATATATCCAAGAGGTACACCGTAATATCCACAGTAGGATAACTGTCAGCCCTTTAACGTAGGAAATACGGTATATATCCCAGCGGTACACCGTCACCTTCACGGTAGGATAACTGTCAGCCCTTTACCGTAAATAACACGCTGAGGGTTTACAGTGTAGAAAGAGTGAGTGAATATGGTTTTAAGCCGCTGTTAGCAACAGTCCCGCAATATCACAGCGGGTCATAGCAGAAATGGGGTTCACACATTACACCAATAGTGGGAATGGAACCCAGGCCTTGAGCGTGACGAGCGAAAGCTTTAACTACAAGGCTACCCCACCGTCCCAGTAGCAAGAGGGTGCTGAACGTGCGTGTTTCATAGTACGTCTGTAGGGGGCTTGCACGGACAAACTGGGGTAAGTCGTCGGTTCCAAATAGTATAATACGTATGTGCCACCTGATTTTTTCATGGCAGAGACCGATGAAGATGCGGGGAAGAATAGGTCCTCAGCAAGGCGACTGTGTTTGTAAGAGGCGACTTACTGGATCGGGTGGTCAGGCTCGCCGACTTGCTTGAAGCATGTCATCGACCCCAGTTGCGTGGATCGATGCTCATAATATCAATCTGGTCCAGGCTCGATTATTTACAGACCGCCGTCATAGAGCTGGAATATTGCTGAGTGCGGCGTAAGACAACCAGCCAACCAACCAAACCAACTTTCATGGCAGACAGATTAACTATAGTAATGTCGTAACTGTGTTTGGGTACCCCATGGCTGCTGTCTAAGTGTTTTGTCGTTCTGTGTATCCAGGGTCATTGTGAGACATTACAACTCGCGTGGCCGCGAAATTGAATGAAGGTCATGAGGCCATAGGTCAGACAAACGTTGCTCCTGAGAACAACTAACTGGTGATTCAGCGTTTACCTGAATAATGTTATGTATTCTATAGCTCACAATTAATGTATATATGTTGGAATTATTAAAAAGGCAACGACAGCTGACAGCTATCATGCTGACGTTTACAACAGCAGTCAGATGACACCCCCACCCACGTCGTCCTTCAACCCACGCTGCCACTATCCCCACTACACAGTATCTACAGTGTACTCGATCCACTCTGGATCTGTCGACTGCAGCGGTGCTGGTGATCTCAGCTATAAATCACACTTAATTTACTGTTGTATTGTGATAGGGTTAATCTGTCCCAGAACCTTTACAACCCTCCTTCAGTTTGGGGTGGGAGGGGTGGTGGACTGAGGCTGTCAGAAGTTGCGTACCGTAGGGGTACCAGGATCCAGTGATGGCATGGTTTTGTATCCCAGATCCGTCTCATTGCGATCCTGGATTTGTCAGCACCATTGCCGAGCTCGGGGGTTGACGGAGGTGGTTCAATCATATGTGGCTTACCCTGTAATGGGTATAAATACGTCCACACTATGAATGAACACGCGCTCACAGTGAGTTACAATGCTAATCAAGTCACCGTTACTCAGCTATGTATTGTATGTAGATGAGTAGAGCCTATCAGGTTACATTCACCGCTGTGCTGTTCTACAATGTGAAAGAAATACACACATCTCTCGACAAACACTTCTGTCGAGACACATCTCTTGACACACACACCTCTCGAAACACACACATCCCTCGACACACACATCTCTCGAAACACACACACACATCTCTCGACATACACATCTCTCGACACACACATCTCTCGACACACACACATCACTCAACACACACATCTCTCGACACACACATCTCCCGACACACACATCTCTCGACACACACAACTTTCGACACACACATCTCGCGACATACACATCCCCGACACACACATCTCTCGACACACACATTTCTCGACACACACACAACTTTCGACACACACATATCCTTAATATTACCGTTGTTGTTTTATTCTTGCATATTTGTTTGTCAGTGTACCTTACATGTATATCATTTTGTGTCAACCAATATGAATGTGTTAAGCAAAATTATATCGCATGATCGCCTCGACCTACAACTCTCAACAACACGACATCTTCCGAATCCCCACCCACGACCTCGTCTCGACCCTACCACATCAGCTACCCCAACCCACCACCTCGTCTCGACCCTACCACATCAGCTACCCCAACCCACCACCTTGTCTCGACCCTCCCACATCAGCTACTTCCACCCACCACCTTGTCGCGACCCTACCACATCAGCTACCCCAACCCACCACCTTGTCTCGACCCTCCCACATCAGCTACTTCCACCCACCACCTTGTCTCGACCCTACCACATCAGCTACCCCAACCCACCACCTTGTCTCGACCCTACCACATCAGCTACTACCACCCACCACCTTGTCTCGACCCTACCACATCAGCTACTTCCACCCACCACCTCGTCTCGACCCTACCACATCAGCTACCCCCACCCACCACCTTGTCTCGACCCTACCACATCAGCTACCTCAACCCACCACCTCGTCTCGACCCTACCACATCAGCTACTTCCACCCACCACCTTGTCTCGACCCTACCACACCAGCTACCCCCACCCACCACCTTGTCTCGACCCTACCACATCAGCTACCCCCTCCCACCACCTTGTCTCGACCCTACCACATCAACTACTTCCACCCACCACCTTGTCTTGACCCTACCACATCAGCTACCCCCTCCCACCACCTTGTCTCGACCCTACCACATCAGCTACTTCCACCCACCACCTTGTCTCGACCCTACCACATCAGCTACTTCCACCCACCACCTTGTCTCGACCCTACCACATCAGCTACTTCCACCCACCACCTTGTCTCGACCCTACCACATCAACTACTTCCACCCACCACCTTGTCTCGACCCTACCACATCAACTACTTCCACCCACCACCTTGTCTCCACCCTACCACATCAGCTACCCCCACCCACCACCTCGTCTCGACCCTACCACATCAGCTACTTCCACCCACCACCTCGTCTCGACCCTACCACATCAACTACTTCCACCCACCACCTCGTCTCGACCCTACCACATCAGCTACCCCCATCCACGAAGCAAGACATTCAGGGTATTGAAACCCTCACACGAAGAATCACCTCAGGCAACAGATGCCACCACCCTTGATTTCCCTCAATCGCTAAAATGTCCGTTTAATTTACGACCTCTACTTCGGGTGTTGCGCGTCTTGGTCTCTGTATGCCTATGCCCGGCTGTCTGGGCATGCCTACAGGTGCACACAGGTGCACACAGGTACACACAGGTGCACAGGTCGATGACTCCTCCTGGCGCCCCGTGTCAAGGGAACTCGGTCCAGGCAGGTACGTGGTGACCTGCACACTGTGTTACTGGTGGGATATAGCATGACTGACAACACCGACATGTGACAAGATAACAACATGTAGAGCGGATGTCCATCATAACTCACGATACACTAGCGTCCTCTCAATAATAATACTAATAATGATAATAATAATAATAATAATAACAACAACAACAACAACAACAATAATACTAATAATAATAATAATTAATAATAATAATAATACTATTAATAATAATAATAATAATAATAGACGAAACAGGAAATTCAGGCTATTGACACCCTCACACGAAGAATCATGTCAGACAATAGATCCCACCATCCTCGCTCTTCCCTCAATCGCTTATATTTACCAATCATAATGGGAGGGCGTGGTTTCTTCAAGATAGAATTGGTGTTTATTTTCGCTTTTGCACACATTTATTGTACAGATGACCCGCTTGCGGAGCATGTCAAGATTCATGATAAAAAATAAGTCATTCCACAGTTTTCTCAAACGAGCAAATGATGTGGGATATAATCTCAATGTCAATGTCAGTGATGGTTCTGTACTGCTGGACGGTACACAAATGAGTGTCAACCAAGGGAACGCCCACTGCATCGAGTTAATGTGTAGTGTGTTGAGATGATCAGCAACCCTGCAGAGTCATTCACTTGAATGAAGTCGACTGGCCTCAAACGTGAAACAGAAGGCTTTCTGTTTGCTGCTCAGGACCAGTCACTTCCCACTCGCAACCGTCAATGTGTGATTTTGCATTAAAATGTAAATATAGAATGTAGATTATTCAATGAATTTAATGAAACTGTCCAACCCACTTTCAGTGGATGCCCAGCTATTGCACAAACACAGAATCATAAGCTACATCAGGGAGTGACTCTATCCTTTTATTACCGTCTTCGCCATGCTTGAGATTTTTACAGAGAGGTCCATCAAAGGTACGACCCGGAATATGTAGAGGGTGTCATGGAAAATGATAAATACAAAATTCTTTGGAAAAGGCCCGTATACAGCCTGATCGTCCTTTTTGAAAATCCAACGAAATCATTTATATAATTTTCTGTCCCATCTGACACTAATGTGATTGACAAGATTCAGGAAAAACACGGCAAACATGCGGACCTACTTTCGAAATGTCACGTTTGCATTCCAAGTACCAAGTTGTCCGACTCCGCATTGTTCTCGGTGCCTTAGGTTTGGTACCTCCAAATCTGCTGACTGATATTGGGAGAGTACCTGGGTTTGTTGCCAGAGATACAGCCCTTCTGACAATCTGGGTAATGCAGAAGGCTGTAGTGTCGGGCAGTCTTCACATACTCCGAAAGGTTCTGGGTGGGTTCGATTAGGCAGCACTCTCTGGGACGGCTGAAAGTATACACCAATCTTTTATGGTGGCAACAATGAAACAAGAAGTATACACCCATGTTTGATGGTGGCTAACACCCATACAAACAAGAAGTATACACCCATATTTGATAGTGGCTAACACAGATACAAACAAGAAGTATACACCCATGTTTGACGGTTGCTAACACGGATACAAACAAGAAGTATACACCCATGTTTGATGGTGGCTAACACCCATACAAACAAGAAGTATACACCAATGTTTGATGGTGCCTAACACCCATACAAACAAGACGTATACACCAATGTTTGATGGTGGCTAACACCCATACAAACAAGAAGTATACACCCATGTTTGACGGTTGCTAACACGGATACAAACAAGAAGTATACACCCATGTTTGACGGTTGCTAACACCGATACAAACAAGAAGTATACACCCATGTTTGATGGTGGCTAACACCCATACAAACAAGAAGTATACACCCATGTTTGATGGTGGCTAACACCCATACAAACAAGAAGTATACACCAATGTTTGATGGTGCCTAACACCCATACAAACAAGAAGTATACACCAATGTTTGATGGTGGCTAACACCCATACAAACAAGAAGTATACACCCATGTTTGACGGTTGCTAAAACGGATACAAACAAGAAGTATACACCCATGTTTGATGGTGGCTAACACCCATACAAACAAGAAGTATACACCAATGTTTGATGGTGGCTAACACCCATACAAACAAGAAGTATACACCCATTTTTGATGGTGGCTAACACCCATACAAACAAGAAGTATACACCCATGTTTGATGGTGGCTAACACCCATACAAACAAGAAGTATACACCTATGTTTGATGGTGGCTAACACCCATACAAACAAGAAGCATACACCCATGTTTGATGGTGGCTAACACCCATACAAACAAGAAGCATACACCCATGTTTGATGGAGGCTAACACCGATACAAACAAGAAGCATACACCCATGTTTGATGGTGGCTAACACCCATACAAACAAGAAGTATACACCCATGTTTGATGGTGGCTAACACTGAAACAGACAAGAAGTATACACCCATGTTTGATGGTGGCTAACACCCATACAAACAAGAAGTATACACCCATGTTTGATGGTGGCTAACACTGAAACAGACAAGAAGTATACACCCATGTTTGATGGTGGCTCACACCCATACAAACAAGAAGTATACATCCATGTTTGATGGTGGCTAACACAGATATAAACAAGACGTATACACCCATGTTTGATGGTGGCTAACACCCATATAAACAAGAAGTATACACCCATGTTTGATGGTGGCTAACACAGATATAAACAAGAAGTATACACCTATGTTTGATGGTGGCTAACACCCATATAAACAAGAAGTATACACCCATGTTTGATGGTGGCTAACACCCATACAAACAAGAAGTATACACCTATGTTTGATGGTGGCTAACACCCATACAAACAAGAAGTATACACCTATGTTTGATGGTGGCTAACACCCATACAAACAAGAAGTATACACCCATGTTTGATAGTGGCTAACACAGATACAAACAAGAAGTATACACCCATGTTTGAAAGTGGCTAACACAGATACAAACAAGAAGTATACACCCATGTTTGACGGTTGCTAACACCCATACAAACAAGAAGTATACACCAATGTTTGATGGTGGCTAACACCCATACAAACAAGAAGTATACACCCATGTTTGATAGTGGCTAACACAGATACAAACAAGAAGCATACACCCATGTTTGACGGTTGCTAACACAGATACAAACAAGAAGTATACACCCATGTACGATGGTGGCTAACACCCATACAAACAAGAAGTATACACCTATGTTTGATGGTGGCTTACCCCCATACAAACAAGAAGTATACACCCATATTTGATAGTGGCTAACACAGATACAAACAAGAAGTATACACCCATGTTTGACGGTTGCTAACACGGATACAAACAAGAAGTATACACCCATGTTTGATGGTGGCTAACACCCATACAAACAAGAAGTATACACCAATGTTTGATGGTGCCTCACACCCATACAAACAAGAAGTATACATCCATGTTTGATGGTGGCTAACACAGATATAAACAAGACGTATACACCTATGTTTGATGGTGGCTTACACCCATACAAACAAGAAGTATACACCCACGTTTGATGGTGGCTAACACCGATACAAACAAGAAGTATACACCCATGTTTGATAGTGGCTAACACCCATACAAACAAGAAGTATACACCCATGTTTGATGGTGGCTAACACCGATACAAACAAGAAGTATACACCAATGTTTGATGGTGGCTAACACCCATACAAACAAGAAGTATACACCCACGTTTGATGTTGGCTAACACCCATACAAACAAGAAGTATACACCCACGTTTGATGGTGGCTAACACCCATACAAACAAGAAGTATACACCCACGTTTGATGGTGGCTAACACCCATACAAACAAGAAGTATACACCCATGTTTGATGGTGGCTAACACCCATACAAACAAGAAGCATACACCCATGTTTGATGGTGGCTAACACCCATACAAACAAGAAGTATACACCCATGTTTGATGGTGGCTAACACCCATACAAACAAGAAGTATACACCCATGTTTGATGGTGGCTAACACAGATACAAACAAGAAGTATACACCCATGTTTGATGGTGGCTAACACAGATATAAACAAGAAGTATACACCTATGTTTGATGGTGGCTAACACCCATATAAAGAAGAAGTATACACCTATGTTTGATGGTGGCTAACACCCATACAAACAAGAAGTATACACCCATGTTTGATGGTGGCTAACACCCATATAAAGAAGAAGTATACACCTATGTTTGATGGTGGCTAACACCCATACAAACAAGAAGTATACACCCATGTTTGATGGTGGCTAACACCGATACAAACAAGAAGCATACACCCATGTTTGATGGTGGCTAACACCCATACAAACAAGAAGTATACACCCATGTTTGATGGTGGCTAACACCGATACAAACAAGAAGTATACATCCATGTTTGATGGTGGCTAACACCCATACAAACAAGAAGTATACATCCATGTTTGATTTTGGCTGACACTGAAACAGACAAGAAGTATATACCCATGTTTGATGGTGGCTAACACAGATATAAGCAAGAAGTATATACCCATGTTTGATGGTGGCTAACACAGATATAAACAAGACGTATACACCCATGTGTGATGGTGGCTCACACCCATACAAACAAGAAGTATACACCCATGTTTGATTTTGGCTGACACTGAAACAGACAAGAAGGACATATGATGATGACGTATTTGATATTGACCACACATGTGTATCTCACTACTTCCTCTAACCACCCACGTTTATCTC